TTTTTGAGGGGGGGGGGGGGGGGGCTCGTTGGGACGTTGGGCGTCAGGGACGTTTGTACTCGTGCGTTAATTGTGGGAATATAAATAGAGGATTTTACCAGAAAGCGCGGGAGACTATAATGGGAACGAGGAAAAAGCCAGAGAAAAAGTGAGAAATTTCGTGGGGTAGACAGAACGATAAATCATATGAAATCCGACATTATGCGGGCACGAAGCTCCGCTGAAAATCGGTCGCCCGACTAAGCGTAAACGAATGAATTGCAACCATAAATAGACGGGAGAAGCAGATAAAAAATAACGTAAACAGGCTAATGTAATATCCAATAATTTCATATAGGGAACCGACGCGTCGAATGAAGTACGTGAGGATCGATTTGAACATCCAAGTATTTTTTATCGACCCTTTGCCAATTTTTCCTCCCCCCTCATTTCGATTAGGATAGAAGCTGAAAGTTTTGCGCCTGCGTCGCGACGGCTTCCATTAACGGCTGAGCCGCCGATAAGCTGCATCGATACTTCATCCCTTGCTTTTCCACAGCCTCGTAGACTCTGGCAGCTAGCAACCCCTCCCCCTTTCGGAACTCAGTGCTGGCTTTCTACCTCCACCGTCTCGCTCCCAACCCCTACCCCACTACCCCGGGGATTACGCAAAAAATACATTTACACGCACAATGGGGTTGAGGGACTTATTGTCGCCCGGAGAAGACCAGGAAATTGCCATTTCACGGCCTACCTCGGCCATCTTCGGTCTCTCTCTTTCATTCTCTCTCTCTCTCTCTCTCTCTCTCTCTCTCTCTCTCTCTCTCTCTCTTTCTTTCTCTCTCTCTATCCACTGCTCACACTTCGACTTGACTCACTATTCTCTTGGGGCGGCAATCCATCCTTCTAGGAACTAATCTTGACGCACGTAAAAGCCGCTGACACCACGTATAGGGACATTTTCCAGATTGACGTGGAATCCCTGCTAAAAAAAAAAAGGATTTGGGGTAGGCATGATATAAGAAAGCTGAGAAATAATTGGAAAATTTGCTTTTGGGATTATCATGGATTCTCGGTTTTCGACTGGTTTGCCGACCGAGAAAGTCCTTCAGAGAATTTTTTGAAAAATTGAGATACTCGGGTCTGGCACGTTCTATTGAAAGTGGCCTCGTTCGATTTTTTGAACTATTATGTTCGTCGTATAATATTGAGTACGGATTCTTTTTGGCTAAGTAGCAGAGCTGCCACGTGGGCACGGTGCTATATCATTGTATGGAACCCTCGAAATACTTTGTCAGTTTTGTAATTCACAGACCAACTGCAAAGCCTGTTTTTATGTGAGCGTATCGGAAGATTTAGATTACCAATTCATAAATGATTTTGCTCTTCGTCTTAATTGGCAATTTTTGAAGTTCTACGTTGAAAGTGACGGGGATGCAGAATCGAAAGAATCAATTTTCGCCACCCTTGTTAGAAGTGTCGGACGTGTCGGGGCTTGTCGCAGCTCGTTTAACCCTCGAGAATTAAGGGATGATACGAAGATAAAAGGGGGCTGGGTAGTGGGAGCGCTATAAGCTGCAACATCAACGAGAATTTGGAAATGCAATCAATCTATCAATCAGTACACAAAAGGGGAACGTGACGGGACTTATACTATACGTGGTTGGGATCTTCACAAGGGATATTTTCGTGAGGGGTGGTGCATCGGGACGCTGCTTTTCATCCCACCGTTCTGCCTTCCTGGCACTCGCTCGTACACACATGTCGTCTACTCCGCCTCTCCACACAGTACTTTCCTACAGGAAATCGTGACGCTTCTGCCAATATGGAAAATCATTTTTCTCTCGAATATTCCTGCGATTTCATATTTTATTTGCAAATATATGATATTATTTTTTTAGGGACTTCCGTAGAAGGAAAAGTAAATAAAGAATTTTTTTATATGGATTTTCGCGAATTACATTAGCGAATGAATTGCGGATTAGTCGTTAACCTTGATTTCCATAATTATCGCGTTCTCGAGGATTATTGGATTTCGAAAATATGCGAGCGGAGCGACAACGAGGGCGGTACGGAGGGCTTTTTGAGGGCGCAGAGATTTAATAAAAAAAAATAGGCAAAAAGATGAGCGTCGACAGTCCCGTCATAAGCCGTGTCACTCTTGGTGTGCAAAAAATTTGGCCGCCCCCTTTACCTCAATGCTGACGTCCCACAGGACCCTTGCTAACCTTGTGCTCATTTTTTTCTTGTTGTTTTGCTGACTAGGCGATGTGGCTCGCCGATGGAAAATATTGGGTCCGCCTTCCTTTTTTTCTTTCCTTGAAATACCGCAGTTTTCAGATACGAGAAATAAAAACCCTGTGACGAACGGAAAATAGAGAAGATTTGCTAACTATTCGAGTAGAAAAGACTTGGCAGTACTTCGGCGATTTCTTCGAATAAATGTTTTGCGGTTTAAAAGTTTTCAATCGTTTAAGATATTTGACGAGGCAGCATAAAAGAGCTAAATGATCTGGTTACGACTTTAGTACCGCTGCCAAGAAAATAACATCGTAACAAATCAAAATGGATTGTAGGAGAGCATGGCCGGTAGTCATAATGAATTTCTTCTTTTATCGGATTTTTCATTTATTACTCATATACTATATGACCAAGTGAGTATCGTCTTTTTCTTTAAATCTTAACTCATAAGAGACTGCAATTTTTTAAATAGAATTTTCAAGAACGAACAAAAACAGTTGATGCGTTATGTCTCTTAAAATAGGATTTACAAGGGTTTGTGCTCGTGTTTGCATACAAGAGGACCCTTCGAAATTACTTCAATTGAATTAACTAAATTATTCGGTCTGCTCGCGTGTTTCAATTATCACGAATTATTCGCACGTAGGAAATAAGATTTTCTGCCACGCGAGATCGAAACATACGATAGCTGGGGAGACTGCCGAAGCTTTTTGAGATTTTATATTACTGATAAAATTTTTTATCCTTTTGCCCGAAAGCCGAAATCAACGATTTGAATTACAGATTACAAAATATTCACGGTATATGAACATTTTTGTAACTACTAGTTGTGTTGACTTGCTTGGGATAATATATTCTACGAACAATATGCGGTACTTTGTTTAATTTTAAGAAATTTGTAATTCTTTTGTAAAACCATGAAGTAACATATGATATCAAGCCATTAAATAAATATATTTGTTAATTTTCATTGCGATTATGACTAGTATAATATCTTAGTTTAAGAAATTAGATGTATAGGGTGATCAAAAAATTATTAACTCTTACGTGACGGTAACCAGAATCACGCAAAAATTATTAATATGATATTTAATATGATATATGGTTAATGCCCACTTTTATGGCGGGTTGATTGATTCACTTTAGCCATCCAACGATCAAACGTTCATTTTGCCGAGTCGAAAAATAAATTCTACTTTGAACCTACGAGATCCCAAGGAAGCTCTGGAGGGCTAAATTGAAATTTCAGAATAGAATGTCGTATGTAAATTAAAGTCTGCTTCAAAGGCTCAATAATCAATTTGGTACGCATGTGCACTTTACAAGGATTGAAGCTCAGACCGGACTTGGTTCGACAGTCATTCGCATAAAATATTTGTCTGTAAAAATTAATTACATTTATTCTTTCTTTTTGGAAATACTTGAAACACGTAATCGTCCAAATTACAAATAGATATACAATATTGTTGAATTCCACGAGCACTCAGTTATAATTAATATTGTGTCATTTGTCTCATTAACGAAGAATAATTTGCGTGACAGTGGTATATAGTCAATCCATCGGTTCAATAAGTTTTTTTGAGAGTTCAGAAACATTGCAGCCCTTAACAAATTACACGTGGCTTTACGTAAATCGTGTAAATATATGTTGAAACGTATTTCAGCGCAAAACCATTGACATGCATATTTTGCAATCAAAATTTTATGCAGAGCCTCCTACGGCTTATTAAGGACATTTTTCTTCTTGGTCTGTCAAAAAAAAAAGACATTGAACACGTGGACCGACCCGACTATATGTATAGAGAAAGAAAGTCTATAGGTATCATAAGTAGAAAATATAAATGTAAAGCAATAGTACACAGGTGGGGAAAAATAGGAAAGACAAGCAGATGCTCACTGCACAGCCTCACGCCTCGCATGAATGGGCCAGATACATGAGGAATATAATGGGAAACCCCATGACGGCTACGTGCGTCTGAATAACTGCTGCTTCTCGTGTCTTCTTCTTCCTTATCTTTCAATTCCACGCTTCCTTTTTGGGTCGTCGATTCTCAGCCTACTTGGTAGATACACCAGGTACCATTCTCTTCCTACGGGGAGTCTAGTGGATTTTTCGCTTCCTCTATGTCCTGCATTTTTTCATTCTTCTTTTTTCCTTCTCTTTTGTAAATCGATGGATTGTGTTATTCCCGTCTGACACAGAAAAGCCATTGTGCCGAGTTTACGGCCGGCTGGGAACACCGTTGGACCTAGCCCCATGTAATTATTACGGGGCCACGGTCACGTTTTATGGAGTCCGCTTGAGATAGGTCCTTTCTCCATTTTTTTTCTCGTTTCATTTTTCACATTATGTATCTCTTACTCTTCGGGAGGCTGTAAATCCAAAGGCTCAAAATTCGAATTGTCAAATTGTTACCGCTATTCATAAATATATTAGTTCAGGTTTTTTCAAGAAAGTTCTACTTGGTAACTTTTCTGTTATTGAAGTGAAAAATTGAAATTTTTTTCTCCAAATGAAAGGCGTACTCTCGGCTACAATTGAAGAGAACAAAGGATTGTTCCAGTGACCATGCATGACGCGGGTATTTTTATGGATATTGAGGACGTGTACAGGTTAATTTCATGGGAGCACTTCAATTTCACTTTTTCGTACAATTGCTTTGTTTTATGTTACAGGATGCGCTTTTGATTCTCTGGAATTCTACGGTGTTTACAACTGGGAGCACCAAAAATACCGAACAGACTGAAGAGAAGGTATGCTGAGTAATAATATTGCATCTCTATATCAATATAATCCAATCTACTAGTCAATTGAATTAAATTTACTATCTTCTTTCAGAATTCCGGATCGAAACGCGACTATCCTTTTTCCATTTTTTAAAATCTACTTATCTCTCATCATTCTGGCAATTTCGTATTCTCGAAATTTGTGATTAGCTTCCCTGTTTAGCGTCTGCGCACAAGCGTCGAAACTGCGTAGGCTGAGAAGTGTATAATAATAAAAGCATCGCGAAGTAGTAAAAAAAAAGTCGCAACGATACGAAAAAAAAAAAAAAAAAAATTCGAGACAAACGCAAAGAAACAACGCCTGTAATTAAGATAAACATCACCAACGAAAAAAAAAATGACTCTCTTATCTAACTCGAATTTTTGCTATTCGTTTCTCTCGTCGCATATTTTTCACGTCATTTTATTCGAATCTCTTTTTGACTCTTTCGTGCAAATCGTGCCGCGTATGTGTATATAATTAAAGAAAACGAATAATAGACACGACAGAGACTTTTGTATATTTGTAATATATAGTTAGACCACTGTACGATATTACATAATAAAATTATTTATATATTTTAATCACGAAGTAAACACTGAGCTTGTTCGTATTATACGTCACCTAAACATCCACTAGTTATTTTCATTAAAAAATCCAAAGTTTGTAAACAATAAAAAATGTCCTCATATATCTCTGACACATCAACTATATCGCTACATCACTAATTACTTCAAGATAATTTTGCCAGGAAGAAGAGACAGCTTTGTAACTACCGTTGCCTTGGCTCTACTATAACTGTAAAAGGTCTTTCTGCTGATTGTACTCTAAATACCTACGAAGCCCTTTGTAAACACAAAAGGGCTCCTCGCTCTATTAACAGCTAAGGATGTCTCGTGAAAATTGGGAGGTTTTTAAAGACACCAAAGATGTCAAGTACGTGAAAGCATTGAGACGTAGGCGGGACGAATGACGGCTAGACGGCGTAGGAGCTTCTCGAGACTACGCTGCATATTTACACTTCATTGTCATACAGTTTGCGGCCTTCGGGGCTGACATAACATTTCCGAAATTGTGTCTCCTTTGAGGACGTGCTAACATAACATAGTAATGCTACGGCGCCTTCCTCTTACTCCGTCATCTTATTCTCTCCTCTCTCTCTCTCTTTCTCTCTTGGATCCTATCCCTCTCCGGGAGTTCTGTCGCAGACGCTGTATAGTTTCTATATTTTCAAGCGAGCAACGAGGAAAGATTCGCGACTTGTGTAGTACAACTGGGACAACGTTATATACACGTGTGTTTATCCTGCGGTAAGAAAAGTTCAATCTAATGTTGATATAAGCACTTCGAGACAAGTAGGAGTTATTCTTGTGTATATTTTGTTTACATGCAGAGCATGGAGTTTGCTGAATTCCTTTTACGTATTCTTAATAATTCACTTTTTTTTTCAAAATAGAACTTTCCTATACGTGACACGTGTATACAATTTTGAAAGCGCAAATTAAATCATTTGACAAGTTTTGTTTATGTCAAGATACAAGATGGCAATGGTAAGGTCAAATGGTTTTTTAAGCATAAAACCAAAATCAAATTTCTTGTATATTTATGAATACATTCATAGTGTTTAATAGGCATAGAATGAATATGGCTTAATTAAAATCAATGTTTAATGATTTCAACGAAACATGTCAAAAACTTATACATGTTCAACGAACATTTCATCAGTCGTGAGCAGCGTACACGTGTCCACAGCTAAGGTAGAAATGATTAGGCAGAAATTAATAACGCCGTAGAAAATTGTTACTCTGTAGGGTACTTATTCATTTTATAATGATTGGTATATAGGATCTCCTTATTGCACATCTAGTGAAGTTATAACGGTTAAGAAATGTGTAAACACATAATGTGGTAATATGCCTTAGAATTTATTACACTCGGAATTAAAATCGATGAGTTAGGATTTAATTAGAATTTGGCAGCGAGATTAATGTTACGTTGAGGGGACTCCTTTAAACTGTAAATCGCAAGAGGATGGCCCATCAAAATGAAACTGATGGCATGGACTGACTCTATTTTCTTAGAACAAAAAGGTAAAGAGATTATGATAGTTTTAACAAGTATCGCACCAGTAATAAACCTAATTATTCGCGTATGCAATATCGTTGAAATTCAATTTAAGCAATTAATATATCCAACGACAACGCATAATAACACTGAACGTCGTCAACCTTTTTTCTATAGTAAAGACTGAATTTTAAATTATACTCTATTGTTAGTAGCTTGCTACTATCCTCGAAACAATAAGTCGTTCTTAACGAGAGGCGGTTTACCTTTACAGATGCACTGCTGCATTCGTAGTAATAGAGTTTGCTGCTATATGGACCGTTTTTGATGCATTTCTCGTTATTTAGTTTCTTCGAGAGTCGACTGTATTATTAAATTTTATAGAAATATAATTATTTCTAGCGGAAAAATTCACAAAAGCATTTTTCATTATTATCTGTATGACGTATTTCTAAAAATGATATCAATCTGTTGTTATCATTAGCCATCGAGTAGAAGTTTGAAAATAAAATTTAAATTCCAAGTATAAGAATTTATAGCGAAATTTGGAGAATTTCAAGAAACATTACGCATTCCTAATACCGCGTTCCATCCGCTATATCCCGATAATTCCTGAAGTTTCCCGTCCAAGTCTCGAAGTTTTATCGTACCGCAGCAATTTCCCGTAAGTCCTCCTAGCTAATATACAGGCTCTTTCACAGATTGCGTTCAGGAACAACGAGCGCATCTTTACCAAAGGCACTGAAGTCGAGTGCACCTTCCTGCATCTCGTCGGGATCTATATTCTTCAGGGCATATGAAGACCTAGGTATTTACTTGCACGATGGGTCTCGTACCTTGGATAATTCCCAAGGCAGTACAAGCACTCTGCATCCGCCATGCTGCTCTCTAGCCATACTTAACCATCATAGCTATAAATTATTTAAGGACCTCAGTCCCTCCAACTTTTATACATTCTTGACAAAAAAAAAAGTTCACCTTAGCGACGTCTAGACACCCGTATTAATTTCTTATTAGGCTCTGTTCACACCAGGACGAATAACTGAACAGACTAAATTCCAACATCGTTTCCCTATTCATTTCTTGTACAACTCTTTTTATATACATATAAGGATGTTCAGCCTATTTTTAAGTATCTATAATAACGCCTATCCTTGCCATGGAAGCTGCCTGAAGTCCACTGAAGAAGAATTCACAAGTTGAGTATCTTAATGCTCAGCACGGTAACATTGCGAGTGGATTTGAAGACTGAATTTTTTGCAATTGCTTTTTTGTAATTACGCGTACCGCTGCTCTCCGAAGAGATGAGATCCAGTGGCTGCTAGGCGTCTGGTAAGTCGGTTTTGAGGCGGAAGACGACTGAGGGGATGAAATCCTGATAAAAGGGGAACCTGAAGGAAAAAGGTGTGCGCGGAGATGCCGATGTACGTGGAAAACAAAACAGGACGAAGCTATGCGGCCCAGTGAAGGTTAGCCAGAAAATACGGATATAAGAAGGGACAAAGATGGAAGACGTTGTAATTGGAAATTTCTAAGAGGAATTTCTCTTTTTGATTCTCCTGCCTTTTCTATCGAGTGAGGATTACCGAATGTTATTTGGCTTCTGCTTTCTAGTCTGACGTAAACCACCAATACCTCCACTACCGTTCCCCACTATCCCTACAGCCTCTAATCCTGCTTAAGGTGTCTAATGAAAATAAAACGATTTCTGTCTACTAGACAGACACCCGCCTCCTCCATATTAAATGATACATTAGACGCTGTTCTCTCTGTCTTTCACTCACTCTTAGTTATCCTCTCTACTTCATCTTTAAAATTACATTATCTTGATATCTCTTGATTGCAGATTATCTCCGAATTACTTAGAATTTAATAAACGATAATCAGACAGGTAAATGGTATTAATTAATAACATGACCTTTTTTGGCTATTAATGTAATTAATATTTATACGTTACGATTATATATTAATATTTATATGGATACTTTGTGGATATTTGAATGGTGTTATTTTTAGTAGTTATTTAAAAGCGTTACAAAAATGGAATCCTGTAACAAAATTGTAATTGTCAATGATTTTTTGTCGAAGGTAATTGGATTTATATTGATCGCATTGATTTACCGTACATTGGCTCTTGGCCGAAAATTATCGGAAATGAGAAATTTTGCTACGGGATGTGCCGGATGGTGTAACATTTTGAAATATTGTATACGTTATTTACTGTTACATATTATAAAATGGAAGTTAATACATGAGACCAGGAAATATATGGAATTTTATCGACAGAAGCACTTAATAAAGTTAGATCATCCAATTTGTTCTTACGGAACAGCTAAACTTTATTGGTGCGTCTATTTCGTATAACTAAGACTGTGATATGTACAAGAAATTAGTCACATGATTATTTATTTTTCAATTGAATATGAAGAATTGATTTTAGGCGTAAACTTTATTTTATCAATTAACATTAATAATCATTGCTTTTCAAATTTGCAATGCTAATCGTTATTAAAATTTCAATTATTCCGAAAAATGATGGTTAGTTCGGAGTGAATGAAAACAGAATTTTTGTGAATAGATAATAATACTAGTGTTCTATTTGTGTGTAGTATTGTATTGATACAATATTGAACAATAAAATTATTAGGCCGATGTTGACAAATATTACGGAACATTACAGTACCACCTGAAGTCTGCCCTTTCCTTTAATTTTTATAATAGAATCAACTTCAGTTGGTGTAATCAACTTCACTTTGGGTAATTCCTGAGACGCAAATTTGATAGAAGACGCCTCTACCGGAAAATTTGACGAAAAATCGATAAAAGATTTCTCTTATTTATTCGAATCCTGTTCTGTTTTATTTTTTCTTTACCTCCCTTCACATTTATTTGCTTCCGAGTCCGATATACGGAATGGAAAAGTAAGGAAGTTTATCGTCTCCTCGGAAACGGAAGTTGCGTCGTTTGCCTTGAAGTGCGTGCTTTTTATTTCGCTCCGAGTCTTCCTGTATTTCCAATCGATAACATCCTCCAAGGCTTTTGGATTTTCGACAGATTCCTAAGGGTCTGGACGAAGCTCATGGTGTTTTAATCCCCTTGAGCGTTATCCCCAGTATGTTCAGGGTAAATACTAGTGAAATATTATGAAATAGAACCGCAAGGGAGTCAAAGTATATAGACGTCGGACAACAGGAAATGATTTTCCTCGGATTGTTTAGATTTTACAAGATCGAAATCTTGAATTTTTTCCGCTA